GTGGCTCAGACGGTTAAGTGTCTGCCTTCGGCTCAGGTCATGATCCTGGGGTCCTGGGATCGAGCCCCGCATCGGGCTCCCTGCTCAGCGGGGAGTCTGTTTGTCCCTCTGCCACTCCCCCTGCTCGTGCTCTCTCTCGCTTGCTCTGTCTCTCTTAAATAAATAAATAAAATCTTTTTTTTTAAAAAAAAGTGCCCCCCTGCCCAGCAAAGTCTTCTCTGACCATCCCAGCTCAAACTGATGGCCCCTCTGATCTCCAGTAGGGATCACTGCCAATGCCATTAACTGAGCCCTTCAGTAGCTTTATCTCTACACATCATATGGGCTAGGAGTGCAGGCTCTTCTTAAGGCACACCTGGGCTTCAGCCTTGCCTCTGCCATTTCCCAGATACGTGCCCTTAGGCAACTGACTTCATCTCCCTGACCTTAGTGACCTCTTCTGCAAAATGAGATCATCTCTGCCTGACAGGGCTGTTGTGAGGATCAAATAAAATGTCTTGAAAGCTACGAAGTGCCAAATAAATATAAAGGATTTTTTTTAAATTTAAATTCCATTAATTAACATATAACGTATTATTGGTTTCAGAGGTAGAGGTCATCTTATATAATACCCAGTGCTCATTACATCACGTAAAGGGTATTTTTAATATAATAATAATTAAAAGTCAAGGTTAGATGAGAAAATATTCATGAAATAACGTTGTGATAGGAGAATTACAGAGGAGCACCTGGCTGGCTCATTTGGTAGAACGTGCGACTCTTGATCTTGGGATCTTGACTTCGAACCCCACATTGGGAATAGAGATTACATAAAAAAAATTTTTTTTAAAAAGGTTGTTAGGAGAATTACAAAACTGTAAGTAAAGTAAGAAAGATCCCTGTGCGTGTGTGTGTGTGTCCACAAATACATATATAAAAAGGATGGGAAGACACGCTTTATAATGTTACTCTGATGATGGTTGGCTCTGAGTGATGGGCTAATCATCGGTTTTTCTTTTCTTTTCTAAAATTTGCATTTTTTAGGGTGGGAATGTAGTAGATTTAAAACTAGAAACTATTTTTTAAAGGAAAAATCAAGTGTGATGCTATCTTACCATTTGGTTATTTATATATACTCCACCATACTTCAGAGAGACTTTAAAGCAGCATATAATATAGCAAGATAGAAATGGAATATAAAACAAAATGAAGCAAAGGAGAAAATGAGGGTAGAAAAGATCACCATCTTGTATTTATCTTAAATTTTTTTTTTTTTAAAGAAAGAATGTGTTAGGATGTCTCTTAGTCATGAGTTTGGTAGGTAAGAGTAACTTTGTAAAAGAAAGCATTTTATCACTGAATGTTATGATATTAAAATGATACATAAAAGAAACAAGAATTTCCTGCTAGTTTTCAGTGTGTTAGAGATTTTAATTATTTTATTTTTGGCACAGTAGAGAGCCCCAAGAGAGGATGGTCGCTATTCTCTATATTATATTATACTCGTATAATAACTTACAAGTTACAAATACATATATTTGGTTAGCGTTGGCTTTGCTTATCTGTTTTGAATAAGTTGAGTGGCGAGACAGACTGCAGTAATTAAACACGCCCAAATGGAGAAAAGTGCTTGCCCTGGCCCTGCCATTCATTAGTTAGGCTTTTTTTTTTTTTTTAATTTAAATTCAATTAGCCAATGTATAGTAGTACATCATTAGTTTTTGATATAATCAGTGATTCATTAGTTGCGTATAACACCCAGTGCTCATCACACCATGTGCCCTCCTTAATGCCCATCCCCCAGTTACCACATCCCCCCACCCACCTCCCTTCTGTAACCCTCAGTTTGTTTCCCGGAGTCAACTCCTCAGAGATTGAGGGGGCCTTGACAAGATCTAACTTGGACCATCTAGAGTTTAGTAAAAGTATAGTTTCACTTGTTGAGGACTGTACATTTCCACTGATCTTTCCATTTTACAATATTTGTAGTAGGTTAGTTGACCTACGTTATAAAATGCTCCTCTTCGCCTTGGATGTTATTAACATAATTTAAATGTCTTTTTCACAGAGAGACCTCTCTCCCCCAAAGCTGTCAAAGGATTTGAAACTACTCCACTTACCAAGAACTATTATACTGTGGTGAGTGTTCAGATCATAACCAAAGAATTTCTTGACTGTCTGTATGGAACCTTTTCACTGGCTGAGCCACAGATGCGTTGAGGTGACACTTACGGGAGACTCGGCGGAGTATTGCAAGGGTCTAATGTCAATAGGCCTTGTACAGATGGCTAGAACTTTTACATCCACTGTACTGAAAAATTCAAAGGTAGCACAAAGATTCAGAGCAAGGCCTATTAAACAGTGCCGAAAGAGAAATCGGTTCACATGTAGGCATCATGAGGAAATTCAGCCATTAGATATAGCCTTACCAGATATTTAGAAGGTGAATTACCAAGTTCCTCTAAGCGGTAAGTTTTAAGTGATCGTATACTGTGATCTTATTTTAGAATCAATCAGTCCATTGTGATGTCCTCGGAAATATTATCAACCTTGTGTTTGAGGAGAGCCTGAAGGGAAGACTGCCCTTTGGCACAGAGGGAGGAATGAAATAGCTCTGGCTTGAACACAGATATGTCAAAATCTATTAGCTATAAATAGGGCATGTGCAATATTCAAAATAAGTTCCCATTTGAAAAAAAAAAAATCCTATTATTCTCCTTAATCTTCTCTCTGCTTTCCTTCATGTCTCCTTTCCAGACTTGGCCCAGTCACTAATGAAAAGGTCAAGTCAACATAACCTCTAAGTTTTCCTGTCTGGTAGCTTCATCATCGTCCCTGACCTCAGCTGAAATAGTGTCGCTTTTCACCCAATATTGGATATGCGTTTGGACTGCACACTCCTTTCATTCTGTGCATGGATAGTTTTCTGTTTTTTTTTTTTTTTTTTAAAGATTTTATTTATTTATTTGAGAGAGAGAATGAGATAGAGAGAGCATGAGAGGGGGGAGGGTCAGAGGGAGAAGCAGACTCCCTGCTGAGCAGGGAGCCCGATGTGGGACTCGATCCCGGGACTCCAGGATCATGACCTGAGCTGAAGGCAGTCGCTTAACCAACTGAGCCACCCAGACGGCCGCATGGATAGTTTTTAAACATCTCCATACATTGTGTTTCAAAAGACAGAATTGCGCTCTTCAGTGAATTTGCTCCATAATGATGATGTGAGCAGTAGTTGGTATGAAAACTCAGGAAGGAGCTTCATAGGTGACACGGACAATAATAATAGGGGACAATTTTATCACTATTTTTCTTCTTACATTTCTGAGGTTAAAATATATTACCCAACAGAGCTGGGCTCCCTTCTCCCTTCCTCTCTGACCATTTCTTTTAGCTTCCAGGTGATCCCCAGTGATTTAATTTTTTTAAAGATTTTATTTATTTATTTGAGAGAGAGAAAGAGAGAGAGAGCACATTGAGCAAGTGGAGGGCCAGAGCGGGTGGGAGAAGGAGAGAATCTCAAGCAGACTCTGCACTGAGCGCAGAGCCCAATGGGGGGGCTCCATCTCACGACCATGAGATCATGACCTGAGCCAAAACCAAGAGTCAGGCACTTAACTGACTGAGCTACCCAGCCACCCCGCCCCAGTGATTTAATTTTTTAAAAGATTTATTTATTATTTTAGAGAGAGAGAGGGAGAGAGAGAGCACGCATGGGTGCACAAGTTGGGGGAGGAACAGCGGAAGAGGGAGAGAGAGAGTAGACTCCCCACTGAGCATGAAGCCCGACACAGGGCTCAATCCCACGACCCTGAGATCATGACCTGAGCCGAAATCAAGAGTCAGACGCTTAACGGACTGAGCCACCCAGGCGCCCCCCCACCCCCCCAGTGATTTAATTTTTAAAGAAAGGATGCAGTCAAATGGTGGATGAAAATATTACCATAGCTTCTTCTCCCTGTGGATTTGGAGTATGCCATCAAGCTGCTTTGGAGCTGTCTCTGCTTCTGCTGATTCTACCAATTTATTTTTTCAAGTTTTTATTTAAATTCCAGTTAGTTAACATACAGTGTATTATTAGTTTCTGATGTACAATTTAGTGATTCAACACTTCCATACATCACCCAGTGCTCATCACGAGTGCCCTCCTTCATCCCCATCCCCTGTTTCCCCCATCCCCCACTCCACCCACCTCCCCTCTAGTAACCATCATTGTGTTCTCTGTGGTTAAGAGTTTGTTTCTTGGTTTGCCTCTCTCTGTCTTTTTTCACTTTGCTCATTTGTTTTGTTTCTTAAATTCCACATATGAGTGAGAGCATATGGTATTTGTCTTTCTCTGACTGACTTATTTCACTTAGCATGATACTCTCTAGCTCCATCCATGTTGTTGCAAATGACAAGATTTCATTCTTTTTTGTGGCTGAATAATATTCCAGTGTGTGTGTATGTTTGTGTGTGTGTGTGTCTCAAAAAGTTAAAAATTGAACTACCTTATGATCCAGCAACCACACGACTGGGTATTTACCCAAAGAATATGAGAACACTAATTCAAAGGGCTCCGTGCACCCCTATGTTTATGGAAGCATTATCTACAATGGCCAAGATATGGAAGCAGCCCAAGTGTCCATCGATAGATGAATGGATAAAGAAGATGTAGTATGTACATGCAATGATTCTACCAATTTAAAATGTCATTGGGATTATCCAAGGCACATTAACCTCTGTGATTCTTATGGGTCTTATGTAAATCTTGTATACAAATTCTGGATGTCCTGCAGTTTGTCTCTCCCAACTCCTGTTGGAGTTCATGTGCATTGCTTCTGGTTCCTTGCTGCTATATCAACAATTCTGCAGTGAAGATCTCATACATAGGACTTTGGCAAACTGTATGAAGATGTGTAGAGTGGATTCCTAGAAGTTGAATTGTCCAAAGGCCTGAGAACCAGGAGAACCAATGGTGTAAGTTCTAGTCTGAGGGTAAGAGAAGACTGATGTTTCAGCTCAAGAAGTCAGGCAGAGAGAACAGTTCTCCCTTCCTCTACCTTTTTGTTCTATTCAGGCCCTCAGCAGATTGGATGATGCCCACCCACATTGGGGTGGGCAGTCTGCTTTACTCACTCTCCCAATTCAAAGGCTCATCGTATCTGGAAATGCGCTCACAGACACACCCAGAAATAATGTTTAAGCTGGGTACCTTGTGACCCAGTGAAGTGACATGTAAAATTAACCATCACGGGGCCCCTGGTTGGCTCCAATGGTTAAGCATCTGCCTTCAGCTCAGGTTGTGATCTCTGGGTCTTGGGATGGAGCCCCATGTCGGGCGCCCAGCTCAGCGGGGAGTCTGCTTCTCCCTATGCCTCTCCCCCCGCTCATGTGCTCTCTCTCTCTCTCTTTCTCTCTCTCTCAAGTGAATAAATAAAATCTTTTAAAAACTAAAATTAAATTAACCATTATATACTATAAACTTGGGCAGGGTAGAGACCTCTTGAATTGGTAAGCCTGTGGATATCATCTCCCCCCTTTTCAAGTTTCCAAGGGATCCTCTGCTGATTTCTGCCCCATTCAGGCCTTGGTGCAATGTGTCTGAGACTGACTTGTTGTTTTGAATATGTGTTAAGCATCCTTTAGGGCCATGGCAGGCCAGAGGAGACTTGTGCTGCCCCTGATCTTGGTTCCTTCTGTGTTCTCAAGATACACTGCCATTTGTTGAGCTTTTTTCACCATTGCAAAACAGTGTATCATTTTTCTAGTCACTGTTTTTCTGATAATCTTATCCTGCTCCTTGACTTTCTTTCCCCATCATAACTTGATGTTATGTGCCAGGAAGTATTTAAAAATAAAGAACAACAGCAACAATAGCAACAAGAAAGGAAAATGGCAACAATGTGAGGGGAGGGATGTTAATTAGCTTGATTGTGGCGATCATTTTGCGATGTGTACCTATATCAAAATATCAAGTTATATACCTCCAATATATATACTTTTTATTTATCAATTGTACCTCAGTAAAACTGAAAAAAGGAATCTAAGTGGCTTCATTATCAGGCTTAATTTACACGCAGCACCTAAGTCTTAGCACCCACGGCCTCATGGGGAAGGCAGGACGGACGTGATCGTGTAAGCCACGTGGCAGAGAATGATGAAAAGTTATAAAGTGTCCTAAGATGGGTTTCTCAAAATGTGGTCGAGGGATCCTGCATCCGAAGCCCCCTGGGAAGCTTGTTAAACGTGCAGCTGTCTGGGCCCCACACCTGACTTGCTATACCTCAGAATCTCTGGCCCCAGATCTCAGGAAACCACATTTTTAACAAGGCCTTCAGCCCCTTCCTCGCCCCTCCCCCACATGTGATTCTGAAGCTCACTAAACTGATGTTGGAGAACCAATAAAGGGAAAGGTTCAGTGAAAGAAGGGATTTAAGCATGTTAAGACTTAGATAAGTGGGGCGCCTGGGTGGCTCAGTTGGTTAAGCGACTGCCTTCGGCTCAGGTCATGATCCTGGGGTCCCAGGATCGAGTCCAGCATCGGGCTCCCTGCTCGGCAGGGAGCCTGCTTCTGCCTCTGACCCTCCGCCCTCTCATGTGCTCTCTCTCTCATTCTCTCTGTCTCAAATAAATAAATTTTAAAAAAAAAAATTAAAAAAAAAAAAGACTTAGATAAGTGGAGAAGAGCTGGAAGGGAGTTCACGTGGGGGGGCGGGAACTATCTGGGCACAGTCACCCAGGCGAGAGTGTGCACGCCTGCAGTCTGTCCCGCAGGTCGCAGGGTGGACTGCACTCTCTTCTTCGCCCATCGAAATGTCCCTGGGAAGGTGCAGTGCTTTATTCACTGCATTCATTGCAGGGCATGGGAAGGATGCTGTCCTTTGCAGTGCCACACGCAGGGATCCGAATGTTCAATCCCGGCCGTGAGCATCAGTCTGCAGAGGGAGAGGTGATGTCTCCCTACTCCCAAACAGGCAAATACAAGCAGTAATAGGCAGCATTATTTTTTTTTCTAACTTTCTTCTACTGCATTGTAACTTGTGGCAGATGCCTTAAGGGTGTGTCTTAAAGAACCTGCATTTGGTAGGAAAGGTGGGATGTGTGTGGCATGTTAGATCCCATAAAAATGCCAGGAAACCTCTTGCAATTTCTGCTCTCACCAC